GATCTTATTACTAAATGATATACTGAATCCTAGCTATCCAATAAACCCGCCGTATGTCCACATTTGGTTATAGGATGATGGGTGAAGAAATATTCCTACGTCATAGAATCAAATCTGCTTAATTTAGCAGAAAAAATACTTCTAACTTCACAAAGCTCCAAAAAAGGCTTGATTATATGTTGACATTTTGTCTCAAGACAGAAATGATATGTAAAAAAACGCCCACAAAATACACCTTTATGTTTGTGTGGGATCATTTGTTGGGAGATTTATTTAAATTCACAAATAGAAAAACAGGTAAATAAAAGGCTCAATGTGGATATTTTATGAAATGTTGTGTTAATGGAAGTGTGTGGGGCTTCTGGTAATCCAAAACAGTTTTACAGAACACAAAACATGATTTCTTCTCGGTGGTCATACAAATTGACATCATGGAAATACATGTTTTTATCAAGACAGAAATAGATTTGCGAAATCACCTTTTTGTTAGTTTGTCTGTGGTATTCTGTGGTTGAGAGATTGAGTTGAATGCACAAATAGAAAAACAGGCAACTAAGGCAAGGGCATGTGTGTTTTTTTGTATATTGCGTATATGCGAATGGAAGATTGGTGGGGCCTCTGGTAATCAAACATGTCAACAAACAGATGCAGGAGGCAGAACAGCAGGAAAAGAGCTCCGGAAAGCCTGACACCATGTCGGAAAAAATTAGGAATCTGGGAGATCAGCAGTGGGAGAGGGGAAGAGAAAAAGCAAGGCAGAAGAAGTGATGGATGGAAAGTATGGGTTTTTTTCTAGAAAAGATCCATGTTTCATGAGGTCAAAGGTCATACGAACTAAAAGGGCACAATAATATTCATGCAGATGTGCAGCTGCAACTGTAAATAGCAGAAGGACAAGATTCCACAAAGTGCTGGTGGAAAAGGTCTCGTAGACGGGAGATAAACAGCTTCATGCTGGGGTCAGAGATGCAATACCACTCATCACTTTAGAATATTATACGAGTCCTGCTTTCAGACGCACTTTTCTTACAGGCTACACATTTCAAATAGCATGTGGGTAATAGCCTCCACATGCAAGTGCTAAAACCGATTCTTTCCAACCACTGCAAGAGCTTTAAGACAAGGTCACAGACCCAGGAGGAATTTGGAAGAATCTGTAATGTGATGGAAGAAAATCTAACTATCCTCGTCTTAAGAAAGAAAAAAGAAGAGCTTGTAAGTTTTTTTAATTTAATGTTTTTTTTTATAAATATAACCCTTACCTCCAGGCTCGGGACAGATATCATGACCAGGCTTTCAACCTGCTCCGCCCGCTTGGATTATTACTCCAGATGCTTTTACTCAGCCCATAAAAATAACCTCATTCACAGGAAATAATTAAACATTTACCGCCCGGGGCTGAGCCGTCCCTATCATATTTTCAGGAGAGAAACTTAATAAAAGCATTTGTGGTCATTTCACCGAAGCAAAATTATCTCTGGCAGAGAAGACTTGCTTGGGGACACACGCAAACTTACGCAAACTTGCACACACCCACACACACACACCCACACACACACACACACACACACACACACACACACTAAAGACTCCTTATGCACATCTGTGAGCCAGAGATAGAGCACTATCTATCCAGAATGTCATTAACTACCACTGCTGTAGATTTATATTCTCTCAGTCATGCCATATGAGCCCGTCCAATTACATCCATAGTCTGGAGATCATCCGCATGCTCATACACACTCATATATATATACACACACACACACACACACACACACACACACACACACACACACACACACACACACACACACACACACACACACACACACACACACACACACACACACACAGATTAGCTTGTCAAATAGGCATCAGAGGCAGCTGCCATGGCGACAACCCTGCAGGGCATCATGAGCTTAATATCCTGATCATTAATGGAATAAACCGGGGATTAGATGATGCTGTGAGTCGGACTGGAGTTAATAAAGAGCGGACAAATGCATAACACTGAACTGATGCTTTTAATTTAACATGCAACATCAGCACTGCCATCTGCAGGAGAGACACACACCTGCAACTCATTTAGATAAGCAGTGCCACCTTTTTATATATATATATGTTTACCCCTAATATGAATCTACTTTTAACCGTCAACAAGATATGTCTACTAGATGTATGACTCTTCATCAATGAGTGATTTGTTTCTCCTTTGACTCTTTCACCTGAATTCTTTTTAGGTTCTTTAGATGTAAAATTGCATTTCAACAAGAACAAAAAAAAATTGTGTTAATAACTACCTCAGTTACATCATTTCACGACTCTTTCGGGGGTCCCGATCAGCAGGTTGAGAACCACTGCTCTAAACTGACTCTATGTGATATATATTCTGCTTGTTCATGTAATCACACTACATGTCTTAAAAACTGCTAGGTAGTAGTACACTAGGTACCATGTTAAGTCATACACCTGAACATCAAAGGAGGAAAAAAATAAAAATAAATCCACAACACTATTATGTCATCTGCAGTGGCTGGTCCACATTTGAAATACAACACATAACATGAAATATTATGCATTTGTATAGATTCAACGACCTAACAGAATATCAGTTTGTCAAACCACCTCCAACATTATACTTTGCTTACATCCCAATGTGTTGATAATATCATCCCAAGAATACACTGTAATATATACAATAGTGCAAATGGGTTAATTTACAAAGCCTGTGCCAATATTTTGACAACATATATACTATATTTGGATGATAAAACTTCTTAACCCTTATTTAAGTAACAATTTGAAGGACGTTCACTGGTAACAGAGTTGTTTGACATTGGGGAATCACAACTTGTATTAAAGTAAAGCTTCTGAGTTTGTCTTTATCTCACATCAGCCCTCTCTCCTATTCCCTCATCTAGTTAAGTGTCTAATATCTTTGTGCGGTAATTACATGCAGACAGAATAACATAAATAATTTATTCCAAGGGATTCCCAGTGCATTTCTTCATAAAAGCAAAACAACTTTACAAAGCCTCTTTAAAAAACATGTTGATAGAAAACAATCTAAGAGCTATCTGTAGTAAAACATGCCACCACAAGTATAAATCGTATGTATAAAATAAAGATGTTATCAATATTTGCTTATCTTAATATTTAGTTTTTAGTTACATTCTTTAGAGTTTCTATATTTAAGAGGTTTGTACACTGACAGCGGTGTCAAGTAGGTACCTCACTCTTCAAATGGGCTGTGAATGATGTCGAGCTTTAGCTTCAAAGGCAGTCGAGCGTTTTGTGGGTTCATGGTGGTCAGATCTTAACAGCAGTCTGTTAGGAGCTCTTGCAGCAGCCTCTGCGCTCCTCCTGCCCGTCCCCGGCGAGTCCGATGGGGCTGGACAGGGTGACGGCACTGATGGAGCCACGGGTCACCTCCCTGCTGGCCACCTTCTTATGGATGGCTGGAAAAAAGGAGAGGAAGACAGCAGGTTTGCATCAGTAGGTCGTTCAAAGAGGATGTCCTATAGACAGAGAGACTGAACACACCTGTGAGGACTTCATTGAAAGCATGTTCGACGTTAGTGGAGTCCAAGGCTGACGTCTCCATGTACATGAGACCTCTCTTCTCTGGGTTGTTCCAAGGGGGGAGGAAATCAAAAATCACAATAAACAAACACTGTCGTTTCCAAGGAGCAGTGTTACCACAACTGAGATTTAAACACATTTTATTTTCACAGGAAACCTTTCATAAAATCCTCATCATATAACAGACCTGCAAAGTCTTTGGCCTCCTCTGAGGGCACCGTCCTGAGGTTCTCCAGGTCTCTCTTGTTCCCAACCAGCATGACCACGATGTGAGGGTCCGCATGGTCCAACAGCTCTTTCAACCATCGATCTGCGCTCTCGTAGGTCAGGTGCTTGCTAATGTCGTAAACCAACAGAGCTCCAACTGCTCCCCTGTAATACCTGAGTCCACCAGGTGAGAGAACACGAGTTAGATTTAATTATTCAAACTGGAAGCTCTCTGCTTATTGCTAAAATGTGTGACTGATAATTGTATGCAGTGTTACTTAAACTGACAAAGATGTGTGCTCCAAATGTGAGAATGGTATCTTCCTTTATAGTGTCTTTATTACTTGTATATACGTGAGTGTGTCTGTGAGTGTGTGTGTGTGTGTGTGTGTGTGTGTGTGTGTGTGTGTGTGTGTGTGTGAACCCACGCTGAGGTGATGGCCCTGTAGCGCTCCAGCCCGGCTGTGTCCCAGATTTGGGCTTTGATGGTGTAGTTCTCCAGCTGAACGGTCCGCGTGCTGAACTCCACGCCGATGGTGGTGCGACTTTCGTGATTAAACTCATTCTTAGTGAAGCGAGACAGAAGGTTGCTCTTTCCTACGCCAGACTCTCCTATTAAAACCACTGAAACAAGCACGTACAGGAGAAGATGAAAATCAGTCATTAGTAATACTCACTCTGATTAACACGTGAGCTTTTTTAACTACTTTTATGGCACATGGAGTTCAAAAATAGAACTGTTAATTGGTCAAAACTATAACTTTCTGGGACAAATCAGATTAACTTGATCGGGTCTAATACTTGCCGTCACCCTCACGAGACACCAAACCCTTTGACATCCCATACATGTGGCACCTCAGTGGCTGACTTTGGAATGAATGGAATAAAAAATCCTAGGTCGTTTAAATATTATACAAACCAAATAACAGCTTCCCGGTGGAGCAGGAAATGTCAGATGCTTGTTCAGTAGGTCAAAGGTCAAATTGTTTACAGCCAAAAAGACAGAGACATCACCTCCAAAGAATATAGAGCAGGAAGTTACAAAGGAGGGTTGTACCTGACATCTTGCCAGCTTCTGTTAGTACAGAAGTAACACACACTATTTCACTTTAACCTCTTCTTAAACAATCACAGCTCAAAAAAACACGACTCACCTTTGAAGACGAAATTGTACGACTCATCAGTCCCCATGTTGCATTTAGTAGCTTTCCTCTTTCACCTAGCAACTATCCTGAAGCCACTTGCAATATTTTTGAAGAATTTGAGAAAACAAAGAGAGAAAGAAAAACAAATGATCTCCGGTTTCCTCTTCTTCCAATGTGAAAAGCAAAAGAGAGAAAAGGTGAAAATGAAGAAAAAGAGAAGAGGTTTAGCTGCTTCCACCGCTTCCTCCTTTATCTGTGGATAGGGGCAGCTTCAGATTGAGGACAGGCATGCGAGAGTCCTGTCGCCTGCCGATCCCTCATCAGCTGACACCCGAGGGAGCGCTGGGGGAGGAGAGCAGGTGGAACAGGTAGAACCACTGGTAGCTAGTTATTGGGCACAGACCCCACCCATTCTGTCATTTGTAGCACAATAAACCTGACCGACAGGTGGATCTGTGTAGACGACGCCATTTTGCCAATCATTTGAACTTAGGCTGAAAACGTTGGTAATATTTAACGAAAACTAAGTAAATATTAATTCACTAGTTTAGTTATGACTTGAAACCTAGGAAAGTTTAGGCTCTCATGTAGAAATTACTTCACATTTGAGTTTAACGCTATTATTATAATGAATAATTATTAATAATTAATTAATTATTATTAATAATTATTATTATTATTAAACATTTGTAGGCAAATAAGCTATTTAAATAAAACTGACAAAGTTTTCTATAAATTGAGGGTTAAATATAAGGTGCTTTCTATTGGCATGTAAAATAAAGTGTCACCCAAACAACCTGTGCCTAAACTACCTTTCAATATGGCCCAACAGATATCTCAGTGTAGAACATTTTCATATCAAACAACAAACAGAAGCAGATCATAAATGTAATGACTTTATATGAACTTCAAGAGCAGGACATTTGAATGAAAAGCTACACACTCCTATCTACACCGTCACAAGGCTATAATCACCTGACACAGGGCGTAGACCGATTTTGACCATGTTTTATTCTTTTTTAGTACAGTACTGTTAAAAGTTAGTTTCAACATGTTCAATTGTGAGATGGATTTTTTTTTTTTTCAAGCTGAGGTCAACAAACAAAGCAAAGCTATAGAAGCAGTTGCCAAGGTTACCACAACTACAATGCTGACATTTTCAAAAAGGAAGAAAAAAATAAAGACAACCTATAACTTGATTTTAGAAATGTATGGTGCCACCATACCATACATGTTTTTAAAGCCTTTCCATTCATTTACTTTTTACTCAATTGATTTCAATGTTTATTTTTCTGCGAGACAAATCACAATTATCTCTAGGTACTAACTGCACCCCAAAAAAAGAGAAAATATAATTAAAAAAAGAAGAATCAGATTAAAAAGAACGTTGGTTTCATTCATATTCATCCTAACAGCGTCCTCCGGAGCTGCTACAGAGTGATATTTTGTTATGGTTACGGTCCTGGATGATCATGTGTGAGATTTATTAGGGGCGTCTAATTGACCCGCTGAAGGGGAAGTGTCATTTGCCGACAATGCTCTTATAGGGCAGGGGGGGACAGAAGGCACAGCAGCGGTGCCTCAGAAGGAAAAGACACCCGTGAGTGGGCACTTTATTTTTGGAATGACAAATTACAAGTTTAGGGAAGTGTGGAGGCCTTAATTTTCTTAAGCGCTTGCAATAAATAGTGAAAGTCATCGGGCAAAAACAGCTATTTATGAAGAATCTCGAGAGCGGGGAAAGAGGGAGGAATGGGTTTGAACGTCTGTATGGACAAGATATCTTCCTGTTCTTGTTCATGATTTCCGTCTCTATACCAGAAAAAATGTTCACGAACTGATTAGCTAGATAAATGCTAACAAACTGCAACACAATGGCCGTGTGTGAAACAGAGCCAACAGCCAATCACATCACATGGGTTTAATCTGTATTATGCAAATGTTTGTCTGCAACACTCCACTCCAGTTTAATGGGAAGAAGACAATGAATGAAGAAATGCTTGGGAGTCCCTTTTCAGGAGAGGTTTTCGCTCCTTTTCTCTGCACCAGAACACCCCTCAAGGTGAGATTGGTTCAGTCCAGCTCTACAGCAGCACTCTGGGACAGAGATCTGGTTGGACGACGCCAAAAAGAATAGGGACTAGGGAAATAATCTGAGAACAGATGTAGAATGAGGGTCTGACAGATCCTGCCCAAGTTTCTTCTGCAAAGTTTGGGACAATACACTTAAATTTCTCTTGGTTCTCTGTAGATGCTGGGTGTGTTTATGATTTAGGTATGTTTGAATGCACATGTCTGTGGATCAGTATGTACTGTATGTCTTTACGAGGGCTGTGAGCCCAGCAGTCTCTCGATAGCGGCGTTGATGTCTCCTCCAGTAGCGATGAGGGCCTGCAGGTTGGCCTCGGGGTTGATGAAGCCCATGGAGCTCAGCTGATCCAGCTGGGACTGGAACCGCACTTCGGGGGTCTGGGGCTGCAGAGGGGACAGAAATGGAATAAAAAAATGATGATTACCTTACATTTAACTGAGGCTTTTGTCCAAAGCGATTACAATTAGTCATTCATACAAAATTGAAGGATGTAACATCAGTGCATGTGTGTGTGGTTGTACCGTTGCACTTCCTCCTAGTCCTCCTCCTAGTCCTCCTCCTAGTCCTCCTCCTCCTCCTCCTCCACCTCCTCCTCCACCAGCAAACATCTGGAGCATCTGTTGCATCAACTGCTGCTGGGCGGCGTTTGTTCCTGCACCGCTGGGTGAGGAGGCGGGGTTATCTGTTGGCAGGCCCCCACCTGTGGGTATGCCAGGAATCCCACCAGGCATCATACCAGGCATCATACCAGGCATCATGCCAGGCATCATACCAGGCATCATACCAGGCATCATACCAGGCATCCCACCGGGAACGCCACCGGGAACGCCACCAGGAACACCACCAGGAACACCACCAGGACCACCACCAGGAAGTCCACCTGTCATCAAACTACACCAAATCAAAAAGCAGAGGAGTTGAGAAAAACTAAATCATCCACATAAAGCACCATGTTTTAGGAGCGAGTGATCCGTACCTGGGCATGAGGCCCGGAGCTTCTGTCTGCAGCGTCTGTAGACCCTGCTGGATCTGCATCAGAGCCTGCATGGCCCGGGGGTTGGTCATCACTCCCATGGCTTCTGGGTTCTGCATCTGCAGACAGAGACAGTAACAATCAGTTCACGAGTTGATCAACTGAGAATTAATGGCCAACTATATTATATTAATATTATTTTGTATGTAAATATGGCAGAAAGTTACGTGTTGAGCCTATTAAATATTGAGATTCCCTGCTTGTATTATTAATAAACTGAACATCTTTGTGTTTGGGACTGACAAGACAAAATATTTGAATACATCACCTTGGACTTTTAGAAACTGGAATGAACAATTTTCACTATTTTCTGACATTTTAAAGACCAAACAATGAATTGATATAATAATCTGCCAATTAATGGAACCACGAAAAAAATTTGATAGCTGCAGCCCTAGAATAAACCAACCAATCACTGGATGTGCAGTTACAATAAGGAACATTTTGACATCGAGTTTATAAGAAAAGGACTTGTGGTTCATCAAAAAATCTTAAAAATGCCAAAAATGAATGGCAACTATACTGTATACCGTACTTCAGACAGAAATGTTCAGCATGTGTAGATAAGCATCTGTGTTAAGTCTCACAATACTGGAATCAAAGCTTGTTACAGTGTCACTGTTTGTGTTTTTAAGGAAAAGGGGACTGGGTTATTGACTGAAGTGTGTGTGGTACCTGCTGCAGGAAGATGGGTAACTGAGATCTAAACTGGTCCTGCAGCTGTGGGTTTCCAGCAAACAACGGGTTATTCATCAACACCTGGTACAGAGAGGGAAAGAAAGAGAACCAAGTTTATGCATCATTCAACATCTGGCCACGCTTCTCACTCACTAAAGTAACATTTCAAATGATATACTGTTTGGTTTAGCACTTTCTTGCTGGCAGAATGTTCAATCAGAGAAATAAAAGCTCTGGAGTCTCCCTGTGAGTTTCTTTTCCGTACAGTCTGCATTGTTTGTTAAAACCAAGTTAATAAGGGCTGTGTTGGTTTTGCTTTGTAATATTTGCTGCAAATGCAGATGGAGATTACCAGACATCCATTCTGTTGAGTAAGTCACTAAATAGCTGGGCTCAATGGCCGAATGCACAACAGGCTTAGCCAGATCCTTTTATTTACAATTCCTTACCAGCTGCAGAGTTTAACATAATTAATCGATTCCCTATGTGGTATGCAATGTGAATAACAAAGAGGTTTAACACAATCTAAATAACCGGGAGTTGCACTGTAATGTGACGTGTGCCTGTTTTCTGCACTCTGGGTTTTGTATGTATAGTTTTTGTGTTTGCTTGTTCACATCTTGCTGTTGCATACCTGGGAGGCCAACTCTGGGTTTTGAGAGAGCGACTGCATCATACTGCGCATGTAGGGAGCCGAGAGCATGTTCTGCATCAGCTGAGGGTTTTCCGAGATCTGCTGCATTAGACTCTGCATGCCCGGGCTGTTGAACATCCCTGAAACGCACAGGAACATACATGTGTTTGTTTGTGCGTATGTGTACACAGGTCATTTAATGAATGACTCGAAAACAAGGTATATTGAGAATCTGCTCTGTTCTTACCATTGCCCAGGCTGCCAGCGTTGATGCCCAGAGGGTTGGACACACTGGGATTGGTGCCCCCAGGGGTGCTAGTGCTTCCTGTGGTGGCCCCTCCACCCTCAGATGGGTTAGAAGAATTTTGTGGCCCCCATGGATTAGGCAGGGGCTCCCGGTTCTCTGTCCGTGATGGCTGGGCACCAGACTCAGAGTTCCCACCTAGAGCTGAGAATGGATTGTTGCCAAACTATAGAAAAAGAGATATGACACCAAAAGTGGACATTTAGTAATTCACGCAACAATGGCAAGTTAAACCAGACAAAGGTTATACTGTGGAATGTGTGGAACCATTAGCCTATAAGGATAGACAAAGGAAATAGATCAGGGGATAATAACTCCCAGGTACCTGTTCCCTGGCAGCGCTAAACATGGGTTCCTGGATGTCCGTGTACATCCTCCGCAACGCATTGTAACCCCCTGGGATGCTCTCCAAGTTGCTCAGAGCCCGGTCCTGGTTTCGCATCATTTCTTGCATCATGGCTGGGTTCCTGGCTAGCTCCATGGTCTGATGGCGAGAGATGATGAGAGGGGGGAAAGTCAAGTAAACGTTAATTCTAAACCAAGATAGTAAAATCCTGAATATACAGATCCAACAGTAGGAACCCACTGTAGTTGTGCCCGTGTTCACTATCGAAGTGCTATTCAGCCCATATTCAAATACTTTACCTGTCTCATGAGCTCCGGGTTGTTGAGCATGTGGGAGATCTCAGGGTTGCGTTCCATCAGCGTTTGCATCTGAGGGTTGGCCATGATCATCTGTCTCATCAGGTCTGGGTTGGACATCATGTTCTGTACCAACGGGTTCTCCATGATCTGAGACAGCATCTCTGGGTTGGACATGAGCTGCCTCTGCATCTGCTGCTGCAGCTCCATGAAGTTAGCCGAGCCCATGCCCATTCCAGACAGACCGGCCAGGTCACCAAAGCCAGCTGAGGAAGGTCGGATGGTTAATAACTAATTCACGAAGATAATATTGGCTGTTTCAATGTAAATAGTTACACTCACTCAGTATGTTGGGCGTCTGTGTGTTTGGTGCGTCAGTGCCAGTAGAGCCTGCTGAGGAGGAGGGGTTGATACCCGGACTAGAGGTGGAGGAATTGCCTGCCTGAGTGGAGGTCGAGCTAGAGGCCGAGGTGCTACCGCCATCTCCTGCCCTAGAAAGAGAATTTCAAGGCGTATGGCAAGATTAGTACTCAGTTAAATGAAGTGCAGTTCACTTAATTTCACACCAAGATGGTATTACATGTTGAACATTATTACAACAAATCGATGGTCAAACCAGCATGCTTTGTACAATAATGGAGCCTTACTTCTGTGCTGTCTTTATGACCAGGTGAACTGTCAGGCCATCCTTGATGCCGTGCTGGCTGAGGCTGTCGCCATCCTTCAAGATCTTCCCTGCAAAAATCAGAACCAACTGGTCCTGTTTGGCTTTGAACCGCCTTGAGATCTCTTCTTTAAACTAAAAGACAGCATGAAATGAAGAGATTAGATCAAATGGGACAAAAAAAGCAAGGTGGGAAAGAAACAGGAAATTAAAAAAGGATAATATCAAGAATAATATGGTTACACCTCAGTATGGCTGTTAGAACCTTTTTCTGTTCTGTTGCAACCTCCAGGCCTTAAATGCCAGTTTCCAAGAAAGACCTTTGTACTTATCCTATTAGCAGCAGTTTGAACACGCCACAAATCTGCCAATTCACGATTACTCTTTGGCTACTGTGTAAAGTGTCATTTGTACAGAAATTAGTCTTATCCAATACAAAGCTGCTTTCCTATGACAAGTTTTTTTCAATAGTAAATAAGGGCGAGCATATCTTATCACAGCATCCCAGTCAGTTTTATATTGTGCTGATGGGGCCACACACTCAAATGTTGACATTGACAAATGATCTGATATGTTAAAGGTGAAATAACAGCTACAAGATCAAGAGAAACTGAAACAAAGCTGATGAATCGCGCAAATAGTGTAATTACTTTTTTTAATAGTCGATTCTGTTTTGGAAATCCTTCATTTTCTTTTCTCCCCGAGTATAGTTTCATTGATAACGTGTGTTTTTAAAAAGCAGATGACCTTAATTATTGTTTTGTGTACACCCTGGCAGACTAGCAACCACTGTGTGGTAGATGATGAGGATTTATGTAAAAAATGAAGAACAAAGAATGCTGTTATTCACTTAATTCCTCAGCTTTAACTATTTCAAAGCACTTAAAAATTATATAAATTATGTGTCACACAAAATTCAAAATCTTACTATTATCCAATGTAAAGCCACATATAGATAAGGATGACAACACACACTTGGAAGTGAGGGATCCAAGTCCAATGGTTGAACATGAAACACACACAACCAGATAAAAGAGGCTACTTAAGACCACACTGTAATTACAATAACTTGTCTATACGGAAAACAAAGCTAAAGAAACCACTGTGGCTGCATGGGTCGCCTTATGGTTTCACTATAACACGTCGCCAAGCCAACAGTAGCTCTGAGAGTAGGTTTATTCCCTGGAAAGCCGAATGACTCAGTGGCAGCAGTGAGAATGTTCTAGACTAGAGTGATAGCAATCCTTAGCTAACCCTAAGCTGTTGAGCTAAAATGGGAGATGGAAGCAATTCATCACATCATTTATCCAAAATTACTTCCATGGTTTTATCAGGCCATCGTGGCTTCAGTACAGCCCGTCAGCTGACACTTGTTTGGCTACAGTTAGCTAACGTAGACTTAGCTCGCAAGCTGAGTTAGCGAACTAGCTAACTGTTAACAGTTAGCTCGTTAGCCGGTTAGCCATTTCCTTTATGAACGTGGCTATACCTCTCATATCGGATGTCAACGGCGTTTATAAGACCACACAGTTGTTCACCAAAGCCGTAGTAATTTCATCACACACAAACACCTTGGTTTCACACACTATCAGTTAGCCGGTAGGAGTGACGATAATTGCTAACAGGGCTAGCTAGCTTCCTAGCTGAAGTTGTGGGCATGACGTTAGACCAGGCAGCTTCCCACCTGCGAAAGGACTTACCTGAGTGACAGAAGCATCTTCTGCGATGGCGATTTCTTCTTTGTCTTTAGGTGTTTTCACTGTGACCTTAATAATAGTTCCCTCTGCTTCTTCAGGTTTATTATTGTTGTTATTTCCAGGATCTGCGGCGCCTTGGTCAGCCATCTTTACTCCGCCGATGGAACAGCTCGGGTCTGGCGTCAGCTTCCGGGTCATAAGAGGTCAAACCTTTTTCCAGAAAGAAGCTTATGAAGTTCCCCCTGTTCATCCATGATGTCCTTTGGCCCATCTAAATCCCAAGATTGGAAATAAGTTTCTCCCTTGAATTGTGCGTTGTTGATGCAGGATTAATTACAGTTTGATAAAGAAGTGGCCTGTTAGATCAGGGGGTCCCAACCTTTTTTCCCAAGAGCCCCCCCAAATGACTCCTGTTGGAAGTTTCCCCCCCCCACACACACACACGAGGGGGACGACGACGACGACGCAACAGCGGTAATTAAAGTTTAAAAGTCTCCAAAATGCTACAACTACTGTCACAAACTGGATGAATGTGAAGTATTTTGTTAAAGGAGGATGAAAGGGTAATTAAGGAGCACTATTGGAGTGACTTTGATGGTTATTGGACTCAGGATTAATTAATTTGGATTCCCGCTGTATGAAGAAATTAAAGGACGGCGCAAGTGGAAACAATTCACAAAGGGATTAAACTGTTTAAAACACATGCTCAAAGTAAGCCATATTTTGCTGATGTGTTTATGTGGATTCAAAAATCGTAAATCTACAAAATGGAGGAGACTGATCTGATCGGAGCAACTGTGACAAATAATCCAACTGAAACTGGCATGGACAATGACTATGTTTTAAAAATGCGCTTATCCAGAAAAGCCTGGTTTGGACACTTTACGGACAGAAGAAACATTTCTATTAAAGAAAGAATTATACATTTCTGTCTTTTATGCCTTTAATAGCTACTAACTTGAATTTTTATTCAAATTAATTAATCAATATTTTTGTATATTTTATTGTAATGTAGAGACAAGGCTTTTAGTGACAATCATGTATTGCTTTACGT